TTGGGTAAAGATGGAAGAAAATCCTGATGCTGTACAAGGGACCAGTGGTTTAGAGAAGGTTTCTTCCTAACCATAAAAAGCTAAATATTTTATTGACTGACTTAGGATTATGGGAAAGTGTTTTGTTAGCAGTCCTTTCCTAGACAAAATATTTTGGTGTAATTTCAATTCTGACATTGAAAATTTAGTGTATTTTGCTTATCGCAGAGGGAAAGCAAGACACAGCAGGGGGACAAGTAATAGCTAAATGACAAAAACACAGACCAGTTTAAGGACTAATTACACCTATGTTTTCACAGCATACCTATATATTGTCGCAATTTCTCATTTATATGCAGTTCACAGTGGGGCCCAAATTAGTGTTCCTTTCTCATTACTGAAATAGAGCAATCCAGAGCCATGCAGGAGAAATGCTGTAAGTCTGAAACTGAGTTGCTGTAGACTGTATTTCGTTATCCAGGACTGATGGGTCTCAGTATTACCTAAAGGAGTTCACTTAAAGTGCAAGCCAACTTACGCTTTACTTTTGACCAGAGTGCTGCAACAAGCACCTGTACTTCTAAAGGGTACTGGTTTCTGAGTTTGAATAAAGGCTAAAATTAGGTTTACTAGAACATGTCCTTTGATAAGTCAGTTACTTTGCTCCTACGTATAAATACTACAGATTGTCCTAAAAGGAAATCTACCTGAAATTTGACTAACATTATTCTTAAATTGTTCACAGTTGTTATTCCCTGAAGGGTATAACATGCATTACTGCATGGTTTTTTTTCAGCACTGTGAATGCTTTCAACTCAAAAGTAAATCTGGCTGAAGTGTAAATATTTAATTTTTCTCTTTGCAGACAGGAGAAGGCTATTTTGAGGCTTTTAAAAATGAACTTGAGGCATTCAAGACAAGAGTGAGAATATGGTCACAATCACATGGCTTTCAAACTATGTTAGTACATGATCTCAGTGTCAATCCTGGTCTGGTAGGACAGCTGACAGGTTTTCCACAGGTAGGTTTATTATTTCTGGAAATTAATTAAAGTAGGACTAGGTCCTGCCTTGAGAAGCTGTAATATAAAGCTGAAATATACAGAGGATTATTCTAGGATTGTTAGTGTCCAGTGTTACCAGTATGCAAGGTGTATATGGGCTTTCTTTTTACTTGCTGAATTCAGAAAGCATCAGCATAATGTCAAAAGAGTGTTCAGTGCCCTTACATTTTCATGCTTAAAATAAACACTGCATCATAAAATAGATCAGATGCTAGAATTGTATTCACAGTCTTTACCACAAGCAGTGAAATGAGCTTTCAGTGTAAAGTGACGAATCCTGTTCATGAGATCATTCAGGGAAGCCAAGCCTAAGGAAAGTTTCCTATGTGATGAGAGAAAACTGAGGATACTCAGGTCTTCTGTTACAGTACTGTCATTGGCCACATGGTGGGAGTCAAGAAGCAACTTACAAGATTGTCAAAAATTAATTAGGGAAGCAGTCACAATCAGTGTGCTTATTTGAAATAATTTGATTACAGTACCTCCCAAGTAAGATCCAACAGCTGAATTTTAAGTAAATATGCAGTCAAGTGCAAGAAATACTGAGACCAAATACAAGCTATGCAAGCAAATTTAAAGAATTCTTGACACAGTAAGAGAATATTGATTGATGAATCTTGCAGAGCTTATTATTTCCTTACTATTGCAAATTTGTCTCATCTTATTGTGGACAACACAAAAAGTCAAACTTCAGCTAAAATTTCCCTCCCTGTATACAGTTACAGATAACTAAACTGTCAATTTTCATCTGTTGCAGAACACAAGTGATCTACAAGGTTCCATAGACACAGATGTCTGCAGTTTAAACTCTGTGATACAAAGAGATGAAGAAGAATCTAAAATGATGGACACAGTATAGTAATCATAAGACTGAGGCCAAGTACTCTTTCCCCCACCCCTTTTTTTCTTACTTTCCCCCCAAAGAAACAAACACGGCTATTTTCTTGACATTTATTTTTCTGGGTACTGCACTTTATTTTTGGTGTCAGATTTTTGTTGTTGTTTAGTTTGGTTTTAGGGGGGATGGAGTTTTGAAGGGTGGGTAATTCAGAAAAACTTGTAATATTGTTTGAAAACGTGCTGCTAGGTTTTTGGTTGTCCTTGAAGAGCATATTGCCGAATGTGAAACCGGATGCATTTTCTGCTAACTAACCTTGCCTTTATGAATTTAGAAATAGAAGTATGAAAAAAAAATCTGCACAAATACAATGTTTACAAGAAGCAATAGATTCTTGGTAGAATCTGCTATTGTCTTACTACAGATGTGGACATGTTTTACTCTATGAATACTGGAGATCAGAACTGTATTCATGCTACCTTGCTGACATTATAAGCTCTCAAATTTGGTTATCAGTAATAGCAATAAATCAATATCTGGTATCAGTATTTCAGATCTGGATGGATTAGATTAAAACACTGGCTTTCTACCTCCACTAAGGGGATTTAAATGTTACATTGTGCTTTTATTAAATGTAACTTTGTTTTGTCCTAAAATGTAAGCAACGCATGTCTGTAAGTGCTAACTTCAGGTTTTTTAAATCAAGTCTCATTATGATGAGAAGTATTTGATGGAGGGGATCGACAAAACTTGAGGTACTAGGATTAGGCTAAGACTTCAGTTTATACAAAAAGCTTTGTCACAGTTCATATAGGGTAAGGTGTCATGCGGGGTGTGAAAGATCATTTCATATCCTACTAAAGTGGGTTTCTGACATTGCCAGCTCAAAACTATTAAAGTGGAAAATTATTAAGAAATCTTTTTAATGATAAAAACACTATTTCTAGACAAGGCCTTCCACAGAGCCTCTGCAATCCAAAATTGTACTGTGCTTTTCTAACTTTTTGCAATTACAACAGTTCTGTCTATAAAAACCTACTGCAGTTGAAAGACTTCAGTGGAAGACATCTTGTATCTCAAATAATGGTATCGGCACTCACTCTTGGTCCTTTACTGTATTGTTCTGATTATATGTAAGGTCTGGAAGGTATCTAGATTTCAGTAGTTTGATGAACACAGTCTACCTGTAGTTGCTAATTCAGGCAAAAGCTGTGCTGAGATCCAGTAATTTTCAGCTTTGGCTACAGAAAAGATAAGGAAAAGTCTAAGTCTGCAGTACATACTGGAGTGAGTATTCATACAAAAGCAGTAGCAAAAGTAAGAACTCCAGATCCACTGGCAGAAGTAGTTTCTCATGTGCCTTGTGCTCTCTAGCAGCTCTCTTGCAGACAGTAGATAAAGGAGCAGGCAGCAGCTCTGTCCCAAATGCAAATTAGAGATAACCAGCTTCAGTAGTAAATTTTTTAAGTTTGACAGATACTCCAGAGAGAGTAAACACTGCCTCCTCCTTAATAATTAGTTAATTATTAGTTAATTATTAAGGGAAACTAATAATAACTTCAGGTTGTTTTTAACTGAATGTCATGTATAAGGGTAGTAAGGGCAGTGTAGCACAGCGACTTGCAATTGCTCCCATTAGCAGTAAAGCCATACTGATCCAGCAACCTGTGATAGACTGGAAGTTAAAGTTTCTAAGGGGGTAAAATTGGATGGTCTGGGAATAAGTGTCAAAGCATAAGGAGGTTACCCCACTGCCTTCTCCTTCCAGCTAACTGAAACTTATGTAGGCTGGCAAAAAAACAAGCATAGCTGCTTTTTATTTAAATCAAAATGCATAAATATAAGCAGTGTATGAGGGTTTCTCCTTCTAATGTGTTAGCTACTGTTTTCCATGACTTTTCTAAAGAAGTGGTATCTTAAACTCACTTAGTCTACAGCCTCCGTATAGACATTTATGAAGACGAAAGTACAAGTGGTCAGCCTTTTGGCAAACTTTCTCTAAAATATAGGGAAAACAGCTTGCAGTGATAGCTGCACCCAATTGGTGCACTTACAGTAATGAAAAAGCTTTATAAATTCTACAGTGACCAGCTTTTTTAGACTCAAATGTGTCTCAATATTGATAATGCTAAAACTAGATTTGCAAATATAGTCAGTCCAGGGTATGTCAGCACCACAGCTTTGTAGTTGTCTCCAAACAATCACTGCAAAAGGAGATTGGGACCTGCATGAGTAGTACACAGCTACTTCAGACATTGCCAAGGCAGAGTTGTTTGTTTCTCAGGTTTTGCTGACTCTTCTTGAAACTCAGTCTGGTGAACATAAAAAAAAGGGCTAGGAGAGTTCACTGAAAAATAGCAATATATTTGTTACCTGGCCTATTAAAAAATGTGGCCTGTGGAGTTTTGTAATTCCAGTTACCTTGTGAACAAATAAAAGACAAGAGCTGGTCAAGAGATGTGAATTCTTAACATGAAACCATGAAAACCAGTCCAATTGCTGCAATGAAAGTTGCTACAATAATATGATAAAATTAATCTGACCGCTGGAAATTCTGGCACCTGCACGGTTGAGCAGATTTTTTTCTGAAGATAGTAGAAAAGACAAATTCACTAGTCAGGATCATGTAGCTCCAGGTTTACCAGATTACACCTAATCTATTCAGTATTTGCTGTCTTCTTAAGAATAAGGTCTTGGACAGCTGCACAAAGACAGAGACTTTACCAAATGTGTAGCACATCAGTGAAACTCCACTTTTCATGCCCGATAGCTGCACTGAGGGGAGAAATATAGCAATAAGGCCAATCATCCAGCAAGGAACATACGTGCAAGCAAAGCTGGAAGAAGGTGACTGTCTTCCATGAGAATAATCTATATATGTATGCCAGTTCTGGTCTGAAATGGCCTTTTGAAGAATAGTGGTCATGGTTTCTGGCTGGCCCAAACTAATCACACATTCAGAAACATGCTTTCATGTCCTTACCATTGATTCACCCTACATTTCATGAGTGAGTAAATCAATAAATGTGCTTTGTAATTAAGCTGTATTCTGAAATGCGTTTCCTTCACCAGTCAGTATTTGCAAACATAAATATTTTCTGAATAAAAAACAAGAGTAGCTGCTTTTGTTGAAGTCTATATTAAAAGTTGTTGAAGTACTATATTAAAAAATTAGGTATATTTAACATAAAAAAATACAGCATTAAAGTGAGAACCACACACACAAAGTTTTATCATAATGTAAGTTAAGGACAACATTGGACTTTAATTGCCGATCAGTTGGGTAGGCTACTTAAGAGAAATCCTTGACTGCTGAATCTCATGAAATCAAGTGTGAACTATGACAGATGAGCAGAAGTTAGACCTATTTTCACCTGGTAGTGGCAGCATCTTTCTGGTTTACATCTGGCAACTTGGTTTGGAGGAAAGCATAGATATGTGGCCAGATCTTATTAGTTTCTGTTCCAGAGAAGGATTTCAGTAACCTTTTTTCCCTAAGGAAGAAAAAGAAGAAAACATTACAGAAATCAAATTGCTTATTTTTTCCAAGACCTCCACCTCATTTTAAAATTGCCCTGGCAGGAGTGTGTGAATATGCATGTGATATAACAGCAGTAACAGCCATAACATTGGGAATACAGGCATTACTCTGTTCTTCAAACAGTGAGCCATTGGCCACATCAGTTCATAAAACTGACAGCTGTCCACAAAGTACTTAATAACAAACTATGAAGGGTAAAAATAAAAAGAAGCAATGGAGTCATACAGCATATGCTGCACAGCAGTCATTCTAACCACAGTGACTGACCCAAGTATTGTAAAGTTACACCTCAAGGATCAAAGAAGTTGCATCAGAACAAGCAAAAGAACCAGGCACAATCAAATTATGAATTAGTTCTAGAATTTAGTTTCATCTGTAAAGTATGTTATTCTCAATAATAGCTTAGGCGTATGTCTTACTGTGGTGCTTTGAGCCATTCCTACTTCAGAAAGCTACTGAAGTGAGGAAAATACTTGTCAATCCAGAAAATCTTGTTTAAAACTTAATCGCTCCAAAGATGGAGCTTCTAGTCTTCTGCTCAACAGTTTTCATAGAGCATAATGAAAGGTGGTGAATATGGAGATAGTGAAGGGACAGTTACTGTAGGATGTTGTCAGAGAGTCCAATTTATTTGTCTAGGCAAGAAGAGACTGCAGGGCTCTACATGGTAACCTACTATTATCTATATGTTAGCAATGTGGTATTTGCAGCTTTAAATTAAGAGAAAATTTATGTATAATTTTGGCTGTTAAAAGACCCAATAATTTGTTCAATGTGCAAATGGCAGTATTCTGAAATAGCTGCTTATTCACAAAGAGTTGTACTAACTCTGCCCATCATGGCCTTGTTCTTTGAGCAGCCACTTTTAAATCCTCATTAACAGGTTTTCTGTTTGTGTAACATTTCTTGACCCGTTGCCCTTGGTAGGGGGGCTTCTACTTACGAACCCAGAGGAGAAAATGCTGTTAAATCTTAAAACAACAACAAAAAAGGATTTATATTTGTTACCTTACTATCCAGAGCTAGATTGCCAGAACAGTACTATAATGTATTGAATAACGCTGTTTGTAAATGTGGCTGCTATGAAAGGCTCTTTTGGTAAGCAGGCTCCTGAAAAGGCTTCATGCAACAGTGGAAAATACACTCATTTTACTGGGTTGTTTTCTTACTGAGTTGATGAAAGATACACTGCTACTCATACCGTGTTCATTTTTGCATTATCTTTGTAATTGAAGAGATCTGTTCCTCACTATGCTATTATGGAAGAAATTTCTCGAATGTGGAAGAATAGATTTTACTACTTACCGGTAATATTCTAGAACAGGTTTTGTTTGTGCATCGTAAGCCTGCAGCCTCTTCATAACCGTCTCTGGATTATCATCATCACGCTGAACAAGTGGCTCTCCAGTAATATCATCAATGCCCTAATCATGGTTTAATACAAATACTGGTGTGTATTTGTTACTAAGTATGTTTTGTGTAGCTTTCTGTTTAAATTGTGGTCAGTTTCCAGTTAGTTAAGGTGTAGATTTCTGCTTATACAGAAAGACTGCTGCCCATATCTTAATCTGGAATATAAAATATTGACTTCCTAGTAAAGCAGTCTGTTAGTTAAAAGTATTTTCTCAGTATTAGCAATGAACATCAGGTCATAGTAACTCAACTAATTTGTCTCTAGAACATTCACTGAATATGGCAAATATGTAGGCAAAACCTTTGTATATGAGGGAAAAACACATTGTTGGTAGCACAGTCCTGCATAACAGGAAGCAATCAAGAGACCAACTGGGCCTTTGTTTGACAATACTGAAATGGGAAATGAGTTAATGGCTCTTTAAGTTGCAAATATAAGAGCGACATCAAGAGTTGTACAAAAAATGGCATAAAAGCTAGCCGAAGTTTTTCTAGGATTCAGTAAACAGAGGTAGGGACCTAATGATGTAAATTATGACAGGTCCTACTTTACTGCACTTTTCACCTCCAATTTACTGAAGTGTTTTAAATGATTACAGAGCTTTTAAACCTTGAAACAAGCAATGATTGAAGAAATTACTGACCACTGGCATACCCTATGAAGGACTAGCTAGTGGCAGAAAATTTGTCTCCTCCTTAGATGCACTGAGTCATTGTGCAACTAAGGACAGAATATGATTTGCCACAGATATAAGGGACTCTTTGTTCCTCCTTACATATGAAATAGATCTTCAATAATTTTAATTTTCCCTAAAGACAAGCTTAATCTGGTATTTGGAACGGAAACATGAGTGATACTGCAAGTACAAAGCAAATTGGACCACAAGAATGTTTTCCTTTCCTAGTTGCATTCTTGCAGTCAGTTCCAGAAATCAGTAACTCTCAATGTTCACTCAGCTTCTCTGTTCAAGAAGGTGTGAATAAATTCTTTTTCAGAACATTTGTATCTTATTAGAGATGGATTTACATGGCCAAACCTACCTTGTTTACATAACACAATCATTTAAAACAGTCAGAGTGTTTATTTCTAGCATCTGTGTACACAGCCATACCAGTGCCTGAATTGTACCTATCAAATACTGAGCCTTCAGCTGTGCATTAACTCTAACACCATAATCTTTCAGTTCTATTTAGTAAGTAAATATTTTGCAGGTCTATTAGATAACACAATTTACTATGTTCTGATATGCTAATTAGTGTAGGGTAGAGTGGAGTGTTCCTAATAGCAAAGCTGAAGCCCACTCTTTGGTAGGTCTGATAATTCTACATTGCAGTGTTTCCAGTTGCTCACTTCCAGTGCTTACCAGCTATTTCAGCTGACCTCTTTTGCTGAAATCCACTGAAATCCAAAAACTACAAGGCCTGCTAAGCTTCTGGTGTAACTTAATAGAGCTTCCAGGTGAAATGCGATGTCACAAGAGGTAAGTTATTTAGAGTTAAGGATGAAATACAACTTAAGCCAAGTTGCACTAAGGCTACTCCAAGTTCCTGAGAAATCTTAAGGTAACAATGTACAATCATTATCTTCAAGTCTACTATTCCTCCTTAGGATATCTCAAGATATAACCCCTTTGATCTGTTGAGAAGACTCCCTGACTGACATGTTTCTACATCAAATTTTGCAGTACAACAACCACTCCGCTCAAAATACCTGTCCTGGTTAAATACAAACACAGGGAAAGCATTAAGTGGATTGCTCTGACTGGTGATTCACTGTGCTTCCTAGATAAAAAGAGTGAGTACTCTGGAGGAAGGAAAAAGAAACTACATTTTGGACTGTACAGGCTGCAAACTTGCAGAACAAGCTAAAAACATACCCAACTCCTACGCCAGTATTCCATATCAGTGAACAGCTTTAACAGGGACTTAAGAGTTCAGCTCTGCAATAGACAAACACGTTTTACCTAAGCTTGAGCTCCTAGCAGGTCACTAACATTTCCACGGAGACAGATTGTTACCAGAAGGGTTCTGTCTCCTAAGAGATGAAACATACCTTTTTCTTCTGAGCTACTGTGTTTTGCAGCAACACATGCAGATGATAGTTTACTGCAATTACCAAATGCAACTCAACATTTATTTAGTGCAAACACTGATGTGTATTGCTTACCTGCACTTTGGGAGGACTGAATTCCAGATTATAGACTCTGCCACTGGCAGGGTGGATCCAGCGTGCTGTGAGCCGACATTTTATGGTCTCAAATGGCACATCTAGGTTAATCACAGTGTCTATTTGACATTCTTTGTCCAGGGCTTCTGCCTGAGCAACCGTTCTGGGGAAACCTTTTTAAAGGAGACAGCTCCATAAAAATCCAAAGGAAGACTTATAGCGAGCATTACCTGAATTCAGTCATTAGAGAAAATAATTGTCAGAAAAAAAAAGCAGTCATACTGCAACGGTTGAGGAGACATCAGATTTTCCAGTGTGTTATGGCACTTCACCTTGGTAAGTGCCTCCAAGCTTCCATTTCCTCATTTCAGTTAACATCTTTCCAAAAGTGGAACAAACTAACACAAAAAGACCATATACTCATATGCGCTACATACCACTCTATTGAATAAAAGCATTGCATACACATTTTGAACAATAAAAGCTACAGGCAGTTTACTCAGAGATCTGCAACAATCTAGAAACATTTGTAACAACTCTTAATTCTACAGCTGTGTAAGTCTGGCTTATCACAAACCTATTTTATTAGTCAGAGTACCCCCAGTTTATCTACCAGAGGCAGTTCATAATCGATTTTACATAAAAGAGTTACTTTAGAAAGAGTTCTGTAAAGTCTAGGGTATGGAACTATGTGGGGAGTGAAGGCGGTAAGATTTGCATGAAAAAGAGTTTGGGAATGAGCTCTGAGGCTTGGTGCTTGGCAAGCACTGGGGCGATGAGTTGAAACATGAAGGCCAGGGAAGGTAAACAAGTAAGCCTTGGGAGGACAGGCCAGGATGTAGATGTGGCGGAATCTCAGTTGGAGGCCAGAGGATGTGGGGGTTGTGAGAGGGTTTGCAACATTGTGATCGAACTGTTTACCTGGAGAGTTTCACAGGAGCCAATAAGATGGAAGGTTGTATGTATGTGCAGGTTGGGAAAGTACTCAACAAGCGGATAAAAAGGGCTTGGTGGTAATAAATGAGGAGTTGAGTCTCTGCATCAACTTGGGTCCGTGTCGTGAAATGCCACAGAGCTATCCTCAAGGATGATGACTATGAGAACACTCAGGCTGAACAGGAATCTGCCTCTTCACTAAAAAGACACTGCATTTTGCCCCATGAACTCAATGGCTCCAGTAGCATGCCTTCAAAGGCACATATTACTGTTAGAAAAATCAAGTAGAACTTACCGGGGGGGGGGGGGGGGGGGGACAGAACGAGAAAAACAAGGTCTAAAAAAAGAATTTTAAATGAAAATTTGACCACAAGAACTTTAGTGGTCAAAGCTATTGCAAAACATGCTACTGCACCTTGGATTGACTGGAATAATACCTCTGCCCACAGAGATCCTTCACAGTCTCATGTTCTTCAGTAGTTTGTAATTTTCAGTATATGACAGAAGTAAACTTCTCCATAAAGGCAAGTACTGATAGGTAAAACTTAAGAAACACTCCTCTGTATAACTCTGGTTGATGAGGCCATCACCTGAGTAAGGAACCAGCCAAGAGCTAGCTTTAGAACAGGAAAAGAAAGAAAAAAGTCTTAAGGCTACTGTGTCTTGTCTAACACATCACAACAGCAAACAGTTGACTAACTCAGACCAAGCTCTTGCTTGTGCGTTAAGTCTCATGCACTTGGTTTGCATCACAGTCAACTGCCCTTCATGCTACTTCTCTCATGTTGACATTATTTCACTGAAGTGCTTCTAAATGTTAAGAGCAGAGGGAGAGCCAGGACTCCAGCACTGCTGTTCTTACCGCTGACAAGATAGTCAGCCACCACACATCCTAGTTACACAGCTGGAAAAGGAGTTTGCTTTGTGACTTAGTAATGAGAAACTTCCTCTAAAAATTAAAGTGCCTTTACAAAAGCGTTCAGCTGAAACTCAACCAGTTTCCTGCATTCTGTGTTTTCTCAATACAGAAAAAAAAGGATCTACAAAATGTGATGAAATATGGAGTATCCAGCAACGCAGAGAAAAATGCCATAATTATACAGTACATCAGTCTAAGCAAATCATACCCACACAAATGCGCCTCAGTCTACTATATCTGCTATGACTCTAGAACTCACCAATTTATCACAGACAGTGGAAATGGGTATTTGGCTAAGTCAGCATACAAGCAGCACAGCAAAGCTGACCTCAGCTGTTTGTTCTGAGCTGCAGTTACCAAACTAACAACTTCCTGGTTAACGTATTACAACAGAACAGCATGGTTCCTACAGAGCCGATTATGCCAGCTATTCCTAGTGTAATTCACCGAGTCTCATTAGAAATCCTGATACAAACTAGATTTGTGCTCCAGAAGTTTAAAGAAGGCAGCATGTTAACATGCAACAGAATTACAGTCTGCACCCCATCCTCCTGTTAAAGAGCTGCCAGTGTGCCCAGCTATACTGTAGAAGCATCCAGACCCACAAGGCTGTACGTAACACAGGACCTAGAACTAAAGAAAAAAAACATCTGCAGCTCTTTCATTTACTGACTAGGTTTCATCCTGCTGTTCACTGTAGGAATTAAGCCTTTGTCTTCAATAAGGAAGAATATAACTATGACTAAAACCACCAGAACAGATCCCTGTACTAGAAGGAATTAAAATTAAAGCACCAAGGGCTAGAGAGTATGGTGGACTTTACACTTCCCACTAAATAAAAAGCAACACCAGTATCTTCTTAGTTTTATCTACTGAGACAGGTTGTGACTAGAATCCAAAACCACACACATCCAGACTCGACACTATCTTTGTGCTGCGCACACAACTGTTCTCTCATGGGTTGGGATAACAAAAGTACCCAGCCATCTCCATTCGGTTCATGAAGATGGCAGCAAATGCATTTTGCCTCTGCTGTGAATGCTGAAACAGTATGCTTATGCTGCGCAACTGCAGAACAACTCACCCTAGAGAAAAGAATCAAAGAGCAAATGAAAGAGACCTTTTACAGCAGTTAAGCAATGTTTTTGTTAGTGATTTATTATACACTGCACTGCTGCAGTACTTGCTTTCCATACCTATCTTGTTGCTGCACCACATACCTACCTTTCTGTTTAAATAATTCCTCAGTCCCATTCTCCCAGAGTGTTCCATTCCCCAAGGACTTTAACAAGAAAAGGCCTTTAAAAAAAAGAAACTTCTCAATGCATATTTCAAAGGAGAAATAAAGCATAAGGATTACCAGAACTGCTAGTTTTGAAATTTTACTGGAGTGTTCAACTACCCTTTTCAACATGAATTAAATATTCCTGGAACACTCTGAAGGTGTAACCCAAAGCATTTCACAGCCAAAGAAACTGTGGCAGACTTGCTGCTGAAGTTTTCATTATAAGCTGGGAAGAAATACTCTGCAGTTAGTCAAGGATGGCTACTGGAGCGTAGCCGATCACCAGTGACCAAAGCAGTTCAAGCTTTCCAGTGCAGATTTTCTCTCCATATATAATGATATCCAACACGCTAACTTACCATCCAACATCCAGTTGTACTGATCTAGACCTTTTAGCTCATTCAGCATTAGTTGTGTCATGATGTCATCTGGAATAAGCTGCCCCTGATCAATGTAGGACTTGGCAAGGATTCCAACTTCTGTGAAAGCAAGAGAAGTCACATTACACTATCTCTGACCTCCAGAGGGCACGAAAGAGCCCACATGCCTGCAAAAAAATTTGTTTTGATCAGGATGGCGCAGAACTGTAAAGCTGTAAACAAGACAGACAGTACCAAAATTCAGTATCAGATGATCCATTAGGGTCTGGATATGCAAATAGCTATCAGATTAATTTGATCAGTCTATAGTTCCACAGATGTCAGCAGGGCATTCAGCACACCTCTATCCCCACACCCTCCATACAATTTTACTGGTAAGTATTTGAAATACTAGGTTCCAAAACCTAAAACGGGGAGACGTCATTAAGTAAAAGATTCTTCAAAAGAAAAAAACGTAAAGGATACATTTGTTAAGATATCAGCCCTTACATTTCCTGTCAAGAAAAGTATTTTCTCAGTTTAACGGCTAGTTACTAACTTGTGACTTCACTATGAAGAGGGACACCTTCGGTATTTAAGAGAGCAGTATGCAGTGGAACATGCTTGCCAGATATGTATTTTTGTGATACTAGAGTTACAAGAGCATGTTTATAGATGTTGTAAACTATTTATGGGAGCATGCAGACACTAGTATTTTCCCATGGAACTGAATAACCTTTAATATGAGTCATTTAGGCCACTGGCTTGCTAAAATGCAATCCACGCACCACAGTTCCAGGTATCACACCATGCTTCGACAAGACAGGCAGTAGCATGCTGTAGCTCATCTAAATTAAGGATACAGTCAGGAAGAAAGTCATTTGCCTGGGTTGTATCATAGACAAAAAGTCCATGTAGCCTTCATTTATAAAACGATTACTCAATTACATAAGTCACCCAGAATAGCAGCTAGGCTGGTTTTACTGTGGATCTGTGAAAGCCTTTACTTGCAGCCAATTCAGATCTAGTTACAGAAAACTAAACAGAAGAGAAAATGGGGTGGACTGACATGCCAACACAAAATGTAACCACTTTCAGCAGAAAGCAATGAAGAATGCCAGTCCCATCACTTGATGCAGTACTGGAACATTCAATATCACAGATGCCCTACTTCAGACAAGGCAAGTGAAAAGCACTAGATGCCCTCAAATAATGCAAACAGTAGTGTGGGTGCTGAAAAAAAAAACAAACAACATAAAGGGACAATTTCCCCTCATTGGGTGTTCACATCTATAGTCAGGCTTTGAAAACCCTGAAGACCATTTAGAATTAGGCTCTATGCACCCTCAATCAGACTTCAAATAAGCCACACAATGTGGAAAATAATCAGACACTGGAGTACTGGAGTCTTCCAGCACATCACAAACTGGAAAGGAGGAGACAGTCCACCTGCATGTGAAGTCTCTATGCTTTTTCCTACCTCCCATCTTTGAGATCAGCAAGTCTTACCTTGTTTGTTATTCTAGTGCACTTTGAATTATGTACCCTGCAGAAGTAGAGGCTAGAAGGATTACATCTAGATAGTTTAATGTGTACCTCAATGCATGGACCTGTTTCTGACTTACACTGCAGGACTGCTCTAGCCACAATGAGCTTCAGAATATGCAGAAGGCAGGGTTGATAATGAAGCTAACATACTCTGAAAAGACAGATGTGCTTTTGGGCCCAGAGAGGTTTGGAGTATGGCAAGCTGTAAAGTCCTATTATTAGACCAACAGAGCTGGAAACATGCTGTTTCTCTCTACAAACCTCAGGTTGTTCAGAAAGTCACTATTGCAGAAGAAAAAAAATAGGCACAAATAGTTATATGTTAGGACAAGAAGTCTGCATACCACAACTTCTTTTTTCTTTTTTTTTTTTCCTTTTTCTTTTTTCCTCTTCCTGTTGTTGGTGCTTGGAATCTGTGAGGTTTTGTTGTTTTTATTTTGTTCTAATTGCTTCTCAGCCTAGGTCCAAAGCTGCTACAGGCATGGCAGTTTTTGGCATTAAAAGCAACACAGGTTTCTTCCCTTCCTAGGTGATAACAGGTATATATGTTTTACAGTTTTGCAAAAGATTGGCATGTCATAACCAAATTACAGCACGCAAGCTCTAGCCATATTCAGACAAAAGGTTGCTTAGTACTAGAGAGGTGGTCACAGACTCTCCACTCTGCAAAGCAGCAGAACATAGTAATAACTGCAAATTGCTAAGGACATTCACATGTTTAACAGGACTCTTCAACAGACAGAAGTCCATTTTCACAAGACATCAAGTGCCAAAAATGGCTCTGTATAGCTACTGTTGATTATATTTACTTTTCCAAGTGTTTTAAGTGCCCAACTTATAAACACTGCTTCCAAAGAACCGGGAATTGCAGGACTTTTCTATGACAATCAAAACTCATAAACTCTTTGCCTTGACTAAACTTGTCGGAGCTTTCTGAGTTGCATCTCAGTCCTTCTCCCTCCCTCGGTGTACTGCTTACTCCTGTGACATCAGTATTCATCTCAATCGTCCACAGACCATTTCTGCAATTAATGACTCTCAGTAAAATTAAAACAGAGCTTCATCTATGTTAGTTTGTGAATGAGAAACTGTAGCAGATTCTTTCAAGTTCTACACTAGCCAATTCAGAACAAACTTAAAATTTCTTACACCCTCCACTGGCTTCCCTCCTCACGTTTGGGGTTTTAACACTTCTGCTACACTTTCATTCCACATCTTGGTTCTCCTTCACATTCTTTCATCTGTCAAACCCACCTAGAACACTTTGACAAATCACTTTTTCCACTACTTCCTGGCTCCCTCCTCAAATCAAGCAATGGGGTACTTCCACTTGCAACTTCCTCTTCTCACACAGCCTTCTGCTTCATTCTTTGATCTTGCTTCCAAGATGTAATGAAAGAGCACAAAACCTTAAGCATTTAGTAAATAATGTATTTCCTTAGTCTTCTGGAATACCTTCCATTCTCATGAGGTCTTACATGTGCTGAAAGTTTCTAACATCTACTATTTCGCTTTTGTGACCCTCTGTAAATAAAAACTTAGGCTTGCACAACCCAGCACACAGAAAAAGTGTTAATGTGACCAGATACGCCTGCACAGGTGGTGCTTCTAGCAAATGTTTAACTTGTAGATATCAACTGTAGTAAAGTCAGTCAACTGAGCCAAATTCATTGTTCTTACAGATCAAACAGAACTCATGTGAAAAGAGATGTGGAAATCACATCATAGTTGATTTCATAATACAGGTAATTCTTCACCTTCAAACATGCTTATAAGCTTTCAAAGTCAAGTAGTTTGCCAGTTAGCTAACCATAATATTGCAGTGATACTTACAAGTGAATCCAGTCCCCTGCAGCTTCAAAGTACGGGAAGTAACAATACTGTCACTTCATCACATGCTATCTGAAATGGTTCTTAAAAGGTTTTCAACCCCACCGTGAAGAAAAGCAGATGTAGAAGTCTGGAAGGAACCTTTCATCATTGCAAAAATCCACCAGAGAGAGGAGTTGTGGCATCTCAACAGAGCCAGATGTCAAGCTAGGACTATATAATACAGTTAAGTGTAATTCACATCATTACCTAATTCAAGCAACTGCAGGCAAACACAGACCATACTGAAATCTAAGCATGGTATGAACTTGCTGTGAGGTAGTAATAATATTAAAAGCACAAGGTAAGCAGTCTGAGAAATTCTGTCCCTTGTTTTTGGAAAGCACCACTACAGTCACACCTGCCAGTTTGGGGGAAGGCCTTCAGCTTTCGGAATAGCTGGCAATTCTAGGTACCTCTGTCACCTAAAAGTCACACAGCCCAGAACTCTTCTTGCCCCACCTGTTAAAAACAGGAGAATTTTTCCTTTTAAAGATGTTTAAGCTGGAAAACTATCAAACACCTAAAACAGCCCCCAGTTTTTACACTAAAGAAACCCCACTTGGTGCTTACAAAAAGCACCGAGATGAAATAAGTAGGTGCTGCAGAACATGGAAAACGGAACAAACCCCAGATATATCTCATTCGTTCACGCTTACACAGAGGATGCCAAGTGACAGCTTTTAAACGCTCCTTGACTAAAGCCTTGAGGCCAACCCCGGTGGCCTTCGGCCTCCAGGAAGACGCCCGACTTTGCAGGGGTAACACAAAGACGTAGGACTGGGGAGCAGCAAAACCCCCTTCAAGAAGCCTCCAGGGGCTGCCCAGCTGCTGGAGGAGAAGGGACGGGAATGAGCAGGGCGCGGGAAGTACCACGTCGTGTGTCGTCGTCGTCGTCCCCCGTCCGCCCCCCCCGGCAAAGCGGGACTGTGTCACGGAGGAGCTTCCTGACAGGCTGCGGGGAGCCGGTTCCAAAGGCGGGGGGGGGTGGGGGGGGGGGGGGGAGGGGGGGGAAGGGAGGGTGTGCGGGTGACAGGGACTATCCGGGGCGGGCTTGCCCCGGATCGTCCCCGCCACCACTCCCCCCACTCCCCCCCCCCCAGTTTGTACTGTGTACCATCCCCGCTCCTACCTGTCCTCTTCTGCATGTTGTCTCTCAGCAGGTCGCCGCTGGAGAGGTGCTTCATCCCGAAATGTTTGATAATCCGAGCGGAGACGGTGCCTTTCCCGGAGCCCGGGGGCCCCATGATGACGGCGCGGAGCAGCGGCGGCACCACCATAGCTCCGGCGGTGCGGGCAGGGGCAGGGCAGCGGCTGAGCGCCGCCTTCCTGCGGAGCGCCGCCTCGGCTGCCCTCCGGAGGAGCCGGAGGGGGGAACCCGAGGGTTTTTCGGTCCCAGGGTTAAAAGAAACGACAACAGTGGCAGATTTTCTGGCTGTCAGTGAGGGGCGCGAAGGTAAGAAGCTTTAAGAAGTACCGGAAGGGGAGAAAAGAAAATGAATAAAAATCCAGAACAACGTTAAATACAACTACCTGAAAGGAGGCTGCAGTGAGGTGGGGTTTGTTCTCTTCTCCGAAGTTACGAGTGATAGGACAAGAGGTAACGGCCTCAAGCTGCACCAGGGAAGGTTTAGATTGGATATTAGGAAATATTTCTTCACAGAGAGGTTAATCAGACATTGGAACAGGCTGCCAAGGGAAGGGGTGGAATCACAGTTCCTAGAAGTGTTCAAAAACCTCAGTGATGCGGTTTAGTGGTGGTCTTGGCAGCTCTGGGTAATGGTTGGACTTGATGATCTTAAAGGTCTTTTTCAACCTAGTCGATTCTATGAGCCAAAAGCAAATCTCATTTAGAAAGTTAAGTAGCAAAGAGCATTACGGCATCACTGCTCTGATCAACCCCTTTTCCTCCATTCCCAGGAACCCCATTTCGGCTTCTTTCTCCTCCCCACCCCCTCGCCCCTTCACCACCCCTCCTCAGAACTCTGCCACAGTCAGTTCCCACTCTCAGTCCTGAACTATCATGAGGTAACAGAATAGTTAGGGTTGGAAAGGACCTTAAGATCATTTAGTTCCATCCCCCCTGCCATGGGCAGGGGCACTTCACACTAAACCATGCCACTCAAGGCTCTGTCCTGCCTGGCTTTGAACACTGCCAGGGATGGAGCATTTACTGCTTCTTTGGGCAACCTGTTCCAGTGCCTCACCACCCTCACAGTAAAGAACTTCTTCCTTGTATCTAACCTGAACTTCCCCTGTTTATGTTTAACCCCCTTACGCCTTGTCCTATTGCTACAGATGACATCTTCCAAATGACATCCATCAGTTCCTTCCGATAAATACGATGTAGTGATTCACAGCTACAGCAGAACATGATGTTTTCACCAAAACAGAAGATTGTACCACATACTGAGCGTTCACTGCCGTGTTCACCACAGGAGGAATGGGTTTTCCTGCTAAGGGTTTTGGAGATGCTGACAGATTGCAACTGCTGTGAGCTATAAAGGCCACAGTGAAAATACGGTCTCTCAGAAAGCAGAGCTAATGCCAAAAGATTAATGAAATTTAACTTCCATTCTAAAACCTTGATTAATTTCAAAGCTTTTACAAGACATATGCAAGAGCTACAAGAAAACATTCAAATGGATGTGCAGTACATAACAACAGTGTGAAAATGGGAATATAGTCCCAAAACAGGTGATAAAATAAATTGCCTTAACAATTAAATAGGAAGGCACTGTCTTAGCACAGAAATTTTAGTATGAGCATAAAGCATCTTACACTGAGCAACATGAACCTCCTTAACTGAACCTAGTAAAAATTTATTCTAGAGGGCAGAAATAGTGAAACATTCAGGGCTTTATGGATGTTCCCAGGGCAACAACTCAGTCTGCCAAAGCACCACAGCATTAAAAAAAAATTGGCAACAAAACCCCATTTAAATATCAGAAGCCACACTGCTCGATTTAAACTTCATGCTTCACAGACTGCTGAAAGGTGGAAATCCAGAGAATGTGTAGGCAACATCTAAGTGTTCCTGAAACAAATCTGCAGGAAAATGGAAGGTATTATATGAAATATATATGCAACAAATGACTAGATTTTTCAGAGAGATCATTAACCCTTATCTCCAAAATTACCATGTCTAAAAAGCAGAAATAATTTATCTGCCAGTTAAAGAGGGAGCCTGAAGTTCAGCCTCTCTACAGGCATTACTGAGCAGCTCAGAAAAACTCTGCAGAGGACTGCTAAATAATCCCACTGTTGAAAACTGCTTAGAAACATGTCTGAACTTCACAGACAATATGCAAAGAAGGGGTGGAAGTGGATGGAAAGGCACTCCTCTCTCTCTCTCTCTCTCTCTCTCTCTCTCACACACACACACACACTCTAACGTAAGGCCTTTAGAGAATAAGAGTGAGCACTTCTATTGCCAAAATTATAAAAGTAAAATAAATGATTGTTCCTCTCTCTTTGGCTGTCTTTGTGGAGTCCAAACCTTGTCCTAGTGGTTTTGTGCAATAGCTGTGACATATTCAGAAGCGGAGAAGGAAATCGTGGGAGGATTTCTGGTACTGAAATAGGTCATTGGTCCATCAGTTTGTGTATAATGTTTTACACATCTATTCTGTATTAAAGAACATGCATGTGATTTTTTTCTGCAGCCATCACTTTGATGTTTAGGATGTAAAATTTTATTATTCTAATTCAAACTTAATTATTCATATCTTATCACAGTAGCCAATGTTTAATTATACAACTTGCATTGTATTCTGAATTAACCTTTTTCTGCTTACAGAACAGCTGCCTTATTCACACATGTAGCATACAGCTGTAAGTTAAGATCCTGACTCTCGCTCAGTAAGCTTATTGAAGTTGTCCTCATGGTGGCTGAACAGAAATATCAATTTTGTTCCAAACAAGCCCAGATGTTCTTTACAACAGAGAGTCTTTCAGATTTCTCAGTAATTGTTCAGGCATAAAAAAAAAAAAACTTTTACAAGGCTTGTTAAAACTTGTCAAAAAAGTTCCTGTCATGCCTTGGAGATCATGTCATGTGTCCTTGGATATCTAAATACTTTCTTTTGAGCTTATTACATAATTCCTCTATTACTATTATTTAACTACTTTCCGAGTGTTCTATTTTATATCGGAATGGTTTATTACATGAATGAGAAGTGTCAGTATCCTAACAACAGCCTGCTAGTGTGTGTAATTTGGCAGGGTCTACTCTGGGACTAGTCTTGTTTAATATCTGTGAATCGCAGGGAGGAGACGGAGTGCACCATCATCAACTTTGCCAGTAACACCAAATCATGAGATCTTAGTGGACAGGCCCAAGAGAAGGGCTGCAGTTCAGCAGCATCAGGTGGAGAAATGTGCGAAGCAGCAACCTGACACAATTTGGCAAAGGCAGGTGCAAAGTCCTGCACCCAGGACACACAAACTGCTGCAACAGTGCAGGCTGGGAAAGGACCAGTGAGGTAGCAGCTCTGCCAAAAACATCTGTGAGGCACAGCTGGACAACAGGCTAAGCACAACCTAGCACCTGCCCTGGCAGCAAAGAATAGTTACACCATGGGCTGTACTAACAGAAGGGTAGCCACTGCCAGGGGCAACTATTATCCTCCCTTATTAGGCAACCCTTAGACCATATTGGGATACTGCGGCAAGTTTTGGGCCATCCAGTTGTCACGGCTGCTGAACCCAAGACACCAGTGCAAGACAAACATTGATTAGTAGAAGCAGATTTATCAGGAGGTGACCAAGAGGGTCAGGGGCTAGGGAAGCAGCACTGCCAGAGTCTGAGGGAACCATGCTTGTTAGCCTGAAGAGAAGGGTTCAGAAGTACCTAACAGCAGCCTGCTAGCTCCTCCTATAGGGAGGTTGACTGGGAAGGCAGTGTGAGGTTCATTACTAAGGTGTGTGGCAGGACTCATGGGGTTAGGCAATAGAGCCAAAATAGTAGTAGTTTCATCCCGTCAGCATTTTTAAGACCCAGCTAGATAAAGCCCTGAGCAACCAAATCTGACCCCGCTTTGGGCCTTAGGTTGGACTTGAGATCTGAATTCCAACCTGTATTAGGTTGTGATGTTGTATTTTTAAAATAAGATGCCCCATATTTGAAATAAGATGTATTTTTAAAATAAGATGCCCCATATTTGAAAAAAAGGGCATCAAGTACTTACCCAATGAAGGCTACCATACATAGACAATACAGTTGCAAATTCTCCCTCAAAAATGTATACCATCAAAAATATTTGATGAGAAATTTTTTCATTTTTAATTAGATATTGGTTGAAGCATGTAGTGTGAAATGTTGTTAGCTTTATTTTTTTGTCTTAAAGTAGCAAATAAATACATGAATTTTTACAAACTAAACATATACAGCTGTGATTCTTTATTTAGATTTAAATATATTTTTTATAGTTTGCAAAGAGGAATATAACAGTATCACTTTTGTGGTGCCATTCCCAACTTTAGTAAACAATCTAATGCATTATTCCTCCCAGATGCTGAGTGTGCCAAATTATAACCCATCAGAAGGGCTGTCCAAAAAATCTTAATTTTCCTAGGAAATGTATGTTCTTGAGACAGATGTTTACTTTCTGTACTCCAAGCTTCTTACACTCAAAATCTTATTAACAATGAAGGTGAAACACACCTTATTTATAAAGTAAAAAATTGATTGTTAACACATAATTGAAACCTTAACAGCCAGTGTTTGTTTTCAGGAGTATTTTATCTCAGTTATATGAGGACATTGTGACTGCCAATTTGTTTTCACATGCCTCAACAAGAACCAAATACTTAAAAACTGTTAACAGATGATAGCAAGTCATTGGAAATCACAGCAGAAGGATGAGGTGGACAGAACTAATAATATATGTGTGGGAGAGCAGGACAATACACAGAGGAAGAGAAATAAACGAGAGCAGAGGGTACATTTGAACTAGACGTGTTGGACTAGACATTTTCCGCACATATCAGAGGGTTCACTAATACGATGTTCAGACAATGCAGTGGGAAACTTCCATGGCTCCAGTGGAGGCACCTAGAAGCATTTTACACAGATTTCTTCAAAGTATAAGAACCTCTTGATTTCAGTGGGAGTGTCCACATTCCATCACATCCCATATCCATAACCTCATAGTGAACTGTTATTTAACTAGTGTTCTGTAATTATGCCTTAAAGGTTTGTAAAAGTATAGAAGACAACTATGGTGATTGTGGAAGCCCTATTGAATGCTTCTGGGTCAAGATCAGAAGGGTCATCTCCAAGGGGGGATCTTAAAATAAGAATCTGCTATCAACCTGAAAATCAGGACCATAATGCCAAAGAAGCAATATTTGGTTCACTTAAGCAAGCTTTGGGTCAACAGAAACAGTTCCTATGGGTGGCTTTAACAACCCAGATATTCGTTGGAAAAGCAGTAGAGCAGCTCACAT